ACCATCAGTTATACCAACTATTTCTGTAGTCAGTGTGACAGTATACAAACCATCAGTTATACCAACTATTTCTGTAGTCAGTGTGACAGTATACAAACCATCAGTTATACCAATTATTTCTGTAGTCAGTGTGACAGTATACAAACCATCAGTTATACCAACTATTTCTGTAATCAATGTGACAGTATACAAATCATCAAATATCTCTGCAGTGAATATTTGATGTGAAAAATGCCACTAAAATTTATGATTTATTGACAAATAGTACATACGAACACAAGCTAGTTCACTGAAAATTTGCAAAGCAAAATAGATCAAATGAAATATGTGTCAATTTATAATTACTGATAGTGGAAGGTAAAAGAATATAAAAATAATGCTTACCTTCTGATCAAAGTTACCTATATAGTTATAATTATGGTATTTTGGCACTTGTGTATAAAGTTAAAATCATAAATAATATTCAACGGTAATTATTCATGATTCTACCTATATAGATTAGAACCCTACCCAGTAACTAATAGTAATATAACTAAGTTAATACATCACTCTTTCTTAGAATGAATAAAATATATTTATTCATTAGTTAGGTGCCCCCACTGTTAGCCAGTTTCAGTCTTAATCCCAATAACATTCCACACGGTTTGGCACTAGCTTAGGAGTTTTAGGTTAGTCCTAAATCCACATACCAAGCTAATAATCTTCCTGATAAAAAAAACATTATAAAACAAAATTTTAAAAATCTATATATATACATATATACACATATTAAACATTTCAACCAACACTGTTAATTACACTATCATTAAAAAGAAAGAATAAATAGAAATAACATACACACAAAAAAAACTAGCTTATTGTTTTATGCATTATCACTAGTTCCTTGAAAACCAATTTGATCATAGAGTCAATTACGAAGGTTTAGTTAAACTTATTTCAACTTACCTTTCGGAAGAATACTCCTGGAAAGAAAAATCAAATTATAATATTATTGAAGTGTGTTAACCAATATAAAATATTTTTAGACAAAAAAAAATATATGAGCTTTTTATTCATGATGTTAGAAAAACACGTAGGTTCGATAGAAATGAGTAAAAACTCTATAACCCGAGCACTTTCGAAAGGTGGACTTTTTTCTTCAGGGGCAAACTTTTTTATTAATATTTTCTTTAATTTTATCTCAACTTCAAATAATATTAATGAAACATAATTCAAAACAAAGGTAAATAAAAAATGTACAAAGTGCAAAAAACAATTACTAATGTTGAAAAAAATTATTACTCAGCTAAAAATGTGTGCATATCAAATCATTGTTGAACTTCAAAAGTATATTATTTATCATATATATATATTTTTTCACGACTGTACATCTATTTTTTTTACTTAACATAGTATTGAGACAAAAATGCTAATTTTTTTATTACTAGACACATGAAAGACATTTATCAAATAATGTCACAAAATTCAATCATATGCTTTTTTTTTTATCAATTTCTGTATCTTTGTCTGCACCTACAAGATGTATAATTTCAAACAATGACAGTCTTTAGTGTAAACATTTAAAAAAACAGAACTGATTAAAAAATATTTAAAATTATAAATCACGGTACGTTATCGTTTTTATTTCAAGCTTGATTTATCTGTATTATACCAATTTAAGAGAGTGGATAAACATGTCTTATATTTATTTTAAAGATATATTGAGAAAATTGTTTAAATCAGAATTCAAAAATATTCAGTGAGTGGCTGAGAAATGAAAAATGTAACTGATTAGCACTTTTTTTAAAAAAACTTTATGGGTACTGGACTCTAACGTTGAAGTTAATGAAACAGCCGTAGTACTATTAGAATTACGTAGGCCTAGATTATGAGTTTAGCTTTGGTCAATATTTTCACGATATCACGTGTAACAAATATTTTCCAACAATTTTAAAAGCAACAAATCAAATAACTAATGCTAATGCCTTTGTATTTGGAAATTAAACTACAGCTTTATACAAACCTTGAACTCTTCCAAATACTTCAAAGTCAATTGACAAAACCATCTTTGCAAACGCCATGTAAGGTTATGCGAGCACATTCAACGCACAACTGGAGTCGCATATCAAGATATTAAACTATTCTTTCGTGTCCAATTAGATATGCAGCATATGTTTATTTCAAATTTTGACTTCTATAATATTTTTCTTTTCTGTATCAATTTTACTGTGTCATATTTCATGCACTTATAGCAAGAAAAGAAAAGATGGTGTCAAGTTGTTGAAAAATGAACCATTAAACTCTCTCACACATGTTGTTAACCATCGCCCAAACGTGAAATTCGTAACACTATTGCAGGAAAGAATGGAAGAAAAACTGAATTTATTGTATTCAGAATTCCCCCTCCCCTCTCACTAGAGTCGGACGAAGTATAGTGGCTGGCCTATATATCCAAGGGTTCAATGTGAGTGTCCCATCGTTGCACAAAAGCACCCTGTACTTCGAGGCCGTGAGGACACCACTATAAAAGTGACAACCAAATATAAGTATTCGATCAAACAGGATCAGCCCAAGAGTTAGCGTTGGGTGCTGTTAATTATAATTGCCTTCATGTAGCTCTGCATACTGACTTTGTAATCAAAGTCAATATTGGTTAGTAGTGAAGTGTTAATCAAATGAAATTGGAAAATATGATGTTTTAAATAAGAATTTGTAAATTAATGATCTTTCAAGTTCGAATCTATCTGTTAGATCAATTTTATTTTGCCAAAATTAAATCTAAATATTATAGGTAGGTCATATCGCAACAGCATGCAAAATATGACTTTCATTGTTTTCTTTACCCTTTATGATTTATTAATAATCATATTTGACAAACCTGAATATTCTATAAATTTCAACACTTACTTCTTTTTATTCTCATTTGTGTCGTTTGATAATTGATTAAGAATTTATATATGTTTATAAATCGGTAACTTATACATATTTAACTGGCAACCAACAGCAGGCGTATTGGTATATTTCTCGTGATATATAGTTCATATCTTGATTTTTTTATTATATATATTCGTTTGAGGAGTATTTTCAGATTATAATTATGCTGAAGAGGGCGCTCTAAATAACAAGCGGGAATTAAAAAGTAAGTTTAGAAATTCGTATGATAAGTTGATAACTTAAGAAGAAACTTATAAGTGTAAGTTATTGACAGAAATGTTATTGAGTTCTTTTATAAATCAGGAACTTCAAATTTATGCATTTAGCCTATGAAACAATTGTTATAAAAGCCAGCAATCGTCCAACCTCATATAACTACAAATAATTACAAATATTGTAAGTTAGGGCGCAACTGTGTGACACTAATACTGAGTGATAGTAATAACAATAACACATACGACTTAGTTATTAACAGTTATATTTTTGTAGTATCTGACCAAGTTAATAACTTTACGTTTAACACTGTGGGTGTGATAGGTAAAATCATACGCATAAAGTCTGACCATCATGGCTTAAGTTAAGAAGTTTCTTTTCTGTTAATGTTATAACCCCAGTTTAACTTTAAAAATTACCCGTTGTTTTGATATATTTCATTTTCATGAACATTTACCCTTTGTTATACTAGTTTATTTTAAATTGAATATTAAAATTTCCTTTTTTGACCATGAGGTAACGAGCCGATTACTTTGAAATTGCACAATTATAAGCTTTTTATAAATTCATTAAATATCACCTAAATATTGCATATGTCATAAATTACATTTAGTTTTTGTTTCCACTTCTGCTATGATTATGAAGTTATGTTACACTTACAGCACATTAGTTGTGTACTATCCATTGTTGTTTATATAAGTTTGGTAATCATTCTTTTTCTTGCATTTGATATCAGTATGTAGCTGAAATGCCAGATTTGCATTATCGTCGTGGCTTCAATTTTAACTCATTGGTATCAATACTTTCATGTCATTTTTGTAAAGTTTACTTGGATTACTCCTTGTGAAATCTGAATATTTTTGACTGTTTTCAGTTGTAACAGACGATCTGTACTTAAAATTTGGATTGCTTGTGATTTTTGTTTTTTTTAGTCTCTCGTTTATTGTTGTCATAAATATCCTTAGCTTTTTGAAATTGACATGTTCATTGTGATTATTGTTTTAGTTCCACTTTTCTAATCAAGTACAGAGAACAGTTTTATTTGAGTCATTTTTATTATTTTATCTATCAATATTATTATACTTTTTACTGGTTATGTGGAAGTAATTAACTTTCTTATTAGTTGTGTAAATTGTATTCTAGGGTGGGTTTAAATTACTTAGAAATGTAATGAAGAAACATTAACTTGGTTTGTTTCAACAAATAGTAAAAAAAATCAACACAGTAACTAACACTGAAATAATTAAGAACATGAATTTAAATTATTTTTAACATTTATCCAAAATATTTTGCAAATTATTTTTTTTTGCATTTGATTTTGTAAAAATATTATTTGAGAAAAGTGAATATTTTGTACATATTTCAAGTTACAATTGCCATTACAGATAAGATCCATCAACATAAATGTTAATTGTATACTTTAATTTGAACAAAGTTTTTAGTTTGTTGTAGTTGTAAATTTACAAGTATTTTGCAGGAGAGTAGCTGTAAACCCACATTTTGCTAATAGCAATACAAAATGTGGGAAGATATTCATGTTGGATTTGGAGATGAAACAGTTAACTTTGGCCCACGGGAAGAAGTCTGGACAGGTCCACAAGTTTTTGAAATACATACCTGGATCACAGTTTCAACTATAAACAAGGTATTCTTAAAAATGTTAATGTACATTACATTTTGCTGTCTTATTATTCCAAGACTTGACAGTTGTCCTTTCAAGCCATTCACTGATATATATATATATATATATATATTTGTTGTTTGTTTTTTTACTGTTGCCATATTTTGCATAAACAGGAAATTCTTTTAAGTTGTTTTTTTTTACATTATTACTTGTAACATAGCTTTGTAACGAAAGAGAAAGCAAAAAATTTTGAACTGTATTTTGATTTTATGGAAAATTTTTAAATTATGGGATCATTTTCTCATCCAAAGTTTTAAATAAATTCTTTCATTTTTTTGGTTTTACTATATAAAGTTCACAAAAAATTTCAAATGTTTTGTTTTACTACCTAACCTCTATAAAATTATATGTTGAAAAGTCATATTTATAATAATTTTTTAGGAGAGAACTACACCCAGTATTTTCTGTGCAACATCTCCTCAATATATAGGCTTAGCTGTTGATACTCAGTTGTCCTTGTTTGTTCAAGAAAGTCATGAGCTGTTAGTAACATTTACTTTTGGTAAGCTTATGTGTTTCTTAATTACCACTTCTCTTTCTTAATTTTATCCAACTGCTATTTTTATGTTTTTTCAATCCATGACAAATTGAATGTCACTGTCAGTATTTAAAAAAAAAATAAAGGCCTAACATAATGGATTCCAAAAATGATGTCAAATCCTCTTAACAAAAGTAACATTATACTCTTGAGAGCCACATTAACAAATCTGATGTTATTGTACAGATAAAAATAATGTATATAAATAATAAAATAAGGAGCATATAAAGATTTAATGTATTCAGGTAAAATATTTTGAAAATAACACAGTATAATTGTGATTGGTTAATTTTTTATTATAACAATTTAACTGATACACATTTTAAGTGTTGATAATATTAAATTAGGCTAATGAACACACACAATGTTTCATCAAACTCAGTGGACTAAGAGAATGCCATATTTGTTAGTGATAAGGTCCAAGGTAGCTCAAAAGTAAAATCAAGGCTATATTTGTTTGAGATGTTAATGTTTCTGAACATATTAGCATAAAATGTTAAACTAGCTTATAAAAGTATGGACATGTTATAATTTAAGTAACAGAGCACTTTATTTATATTGTTTCAGACTCGTTGTTGACACTCTGACATTTAGCGAAGACTCCAAGTTGTTGCTGGTTGGAGAAAGGGTTGGCTCTGTGCACATTTTTGATGTTGCCCAACAAACAAGATTGCTTGCTGTGGTGAGTTGCTTGTCAAAGAGTTAACGAAATAGTTATTTACTTTAAATTATTTTTTGTTGCATATTTTATGCAGAAGCTGAAATACATTTTGACAGTCTTTATCTCCTGGTGTTAGAGTATTGTATGATTGCTACATGATCGATAGTTTGAGTAGCATACATTGAGTAATACCGGTGGACAGACCCTGAATCCAAGTGTTCATGGCTTGCCTCTTGTTACTAGGAAAAATATGTAAACAAATGTGTTTCACACTTGTAGTCATGGGTGCGTTTGTAAGAATGAAATACAAATCCCATTATTTAATTAAGAGTAGCTCAAAGAGTTGGCAGTGGGTGCTATGATAAACTGCCTTCCTAGTTTTGCACAAATATCCAAAACCAACTATTATTATCAATTAAAAATGTTTCTAATAAAAAAAGCAAAATTGTACTTAATCAATCCAAATTATTAAAAACAAAACCACAAATATCTGGACTAACTTTGCTAATGTGCATAGTTGAATCTGGGTCATAATTATTTAAATAAAAAAAGTATTTTGAAATTATTCACAGAATTTAATGCATGTTTTCGGTGGAAGTAACTGAACTGTGTCTGCTCTTTAAATATTGATTGTATTTTAAAATGACAGTTGTCCGGACTCGTGCAAGAAAACTTGCTGTTGGCAAATAAGCTTGAACCAGAATTGATTTAGAAAAACTATCATTAAAAATGTTACCACTTAAAATATAGATTGTCTCTAAAGTATTTAGTAAAACTGAAAGAGAAGTAAAAAAAAATGTGTGTAATGAGTTTGTGAAACATTGTTAAACTTCAACAACCCATTACATGGATAAACCATGAACATCAAGTAATAATTAAGGTATAAAAATTATTTTATATTAAAACATTATGAGAGCTCTTTTATCTTTTTCATATGTTCGTGTTATAACAATTTGAAAGACCTTAATTGCTGCTCTATATCTAAAGTTTTCTTTTATTTTACAGCCTCTTGTTTTGTGTGAAGATGAAAGGGAAGAGCAGACGTTTTTGTCTATTACTATTACACCTGTTGATGCTGAAGGTTTGTCGTATAATGTTACAAAAAAAAATGCTGATTAAATAGATTACCAGTTATTATTCATTATCAATAACTTCTTATTATTGATAATGGCTACTTTTGTAGGTTAGAACTAAAAATATTTAGTAATTAAAATAGCAGATATAACAAACTTATAACAAGAAATATGAAATGCCATCTAAGTTTCTAATGATTAAAATACATTGATTGAACTGGACAACTTCTCTAGTTTATGGTATTTATCATTGAAGTCCCAACAACATCTCACTTGGTCAGCCAATTAAATAAGTTTAGATTAGTCCTAAAGCCGTATAAAATAATCCTCATAATAAAAATATACATTAAATTTTTTAACCATCACTGTTAATAAAACTAATATTAAAGAAAGGGTACAAAGTAACTTACTTACAAAACACAAAGGTATAATCAAGAAAATATTTGTTTTCAAAGGATGGTTAACTTTTCCATTTGTGAATTTCGAATTGTGCATTTATTTTTTTATACCTCTAAGAATGACATCTTAGTAAAAATACTTCCACATAGAAATATAGTTAATATTTTAAATCCGAACATGAAAATATAAAAATATTGTAAAAGCATGTATATCTTCTTGTTTCATGTATTTCAGCATCGTATAAATAACCATTGATTAGACAAGTACGTTTAGCATTTATTATTGTAAACAGTCGCATGTATTTGAGTGTTTTGGAATTAAAAACTTGATTTTTTTGTAAAATAAAGATCATATTTTAGATTTATTTTCTCCTTCTAGCAAACTCCGATGTTATGTGGGTAAAGTATTGAGAAGTAAATGTATTGTTTATACTACCTGCATTATTTATTTATTTATAATTTTTTATAATCCTGTATGGTTAAATATTTATCTTTCAGGTTGCATAACTATTATGATTTTAACGAAGCTTCAGTTAATCACTTTTTGCAACATAAAATTTGCACAGCTAGAAGAAGGTAAGTTTTTTTTTTCTGAATTTCATCTTTATTATTGTTCTGAATCTAGTGTGTGTTTGTTTTATTATAATTGGATATGGTCACAATGATAGAGACCAGCAACTATGGTCTTTAAATTCATATATCTAACATTTTAAACCCCTTTATGTTTATCTGAGCTAATAATGTAGACAACTTCTAAAGGAATATCTGTTCTATATATATCTAACATTTTAAACCCCTGCTCAGATAAACATAATAATAATGTAGACAACTTCTAAAGGAAAAGCCTAACTGGCTGAAAACATGCTTATAGTATGTGTTTTAGTGCTGCAAATCAAGCCTAACTGGCTGAAAACATGCTTATAGCATGTGTTTGGGTGAAGAGAAAAAGAGCATAAGCTACATTTGTTTCTGATAAATTATCTAAAATGTGCAAAATGTTAAAAACTGGTTTTTAATGAACATGTATAATCACTATATTTTTTTCATGAGCTTAGGATGATTTTTTCTTGCAACCACATTTATCTTCTTTCCAATTCAAAATATAAAATTATTTCTTGCTGTTACAAAACACAAATGAGAAAGTTTAGTGTGTTATATCAGCTTACAGTGAACAGATTTTATGATGTAGACAACTTCTAAAGGAATTATGTTTATCTGAGCAGGGGTTTAAAATGTTAGATATATATAGAACACATATAATAATGTAGACAACTTCTGAAGGAATTATGTTTATCTGAGCAGGGGTTTAACATGTTAGATACATATAGAACAGATATAATAATGTAGACAACTTCTGAAGAAATTATGTTTATCTGAGCAGGGGTTTAACATGTTAGATACATATAGAACAGATAGTTTTAGTGCTGCAAATCGGTTGAAAACATGCTTATAGTATGTAGTTAGGCTTGATTTGCAGCACCTTTTGATTTGTAGTTATACATTTTCCTCCTTAAGTATTCTATTTTTTAGCTGTTGTTTTTGATTGTACTGTACTTCAGAGTGTCATAGCAGCTGTGTTAAATTTTGTTTAGCTTTTGTAGTTACTTAAATATATATCAAATATTAATGGTAGAGTTGAAAAAAGTAAATCCTATAGAAATATCACCTTACTAGAGACCTACTATGGTATGTAAATAACCAGGTAGGATGTTAACCTGGAATAGAAACTTGAGCATTCATGTACAAACATTTGTAATTTATTTCATGTTTTTAAAAGTTTTTTTACTGACTTTCAAAATGGCAATGAACTTAACTAGAACATTTTAAAAATGAGCAAAAAAATGGGCATTAATCAGTGTTATAAGAAAAAGTTATTCAATCTGTATCAACATGAATATATTATGAAGAACTTTTTACAACCAGTTTAGCTTCCATGTAGATTAATACATTAATTTCAATGCATCTAATACTTATGTAAGAAATAAATACAGCAGTATTAAACTTATTTTGTTAAAATAGTAAAAGATACATGTCACTGCTTTGTTGAGTTAACAGTTCAACACCCCCAGTGGCTCAGCAGTATGTCTGCGGACTTATAATGCTAAAAACTGGGTTTCAATACCCATGGTGGGCACATCACAGACAGCCCATTACGTAGTTTTGTGCTTAATTTTAAACAAACAAAACGAGCTTTGTGGATCATATGAAATATTGTAGCTAACATTATATAACAAGAGTAACTAAAATGTATATTTCTTCTGTAAACTTTCCTTTTTTTTCATTATTGTCAAGTAAGTCTCATCTTAACTTGTTGTTTTTATTTTTTTCTATATTTATACTTCATATTTCTGTAATATTTCACAATTTCTTTATTCTTAGTCTTTCTTATTACTGTTCTTCATCTTGTGAAATTCAGTTCCTATGATGTAAAATTTGATATTTATTTCAAAGGCAGTATGTTTTAATAGTTGATGTTTTTTTTTTAGTTATATTGATTTGTTTAATTTATACTTGTTTATTTTGGTTTTGGTTTCAGCTATTAAATCTCAGGACCAAACATTAATGCAGAAGGTGATGTCTTTGTTATAAATAAAGATTAAATTTAAGATGTTAGTGCATAACTTTAGCCACTACTTCATTTAAGAGTTTAGTAAGAAAACTAAAACTTTTAAACAATCTGAAATTGTGTAGTCAGAATTTTTTCTTTTTATTAATAGTATACTTTAAAAAAATTTTTGGTAGTAATATAATTCATATACCATATTTTTCGGTGTATAAGATGCACTTTTTTACCCCAAAATTTGATGTCAGAATCTGCTTGCGTCCTATACACCGAAGGTATGAATA